GATTATAAGGGTGTTTTTGAGAGGGCTAGAAACACTGAAACTGCCACGGCGGATTCCCCAGATAGACGGGGAGAAACGGGAGACTTAAAATTCCCATTTCTGTCTTAACCTTTTCATTTCTTTCACAATAATACGTTGATTGGAAAAATAAGTGATTGATTTGCCCTTTCGTATTTATATTTTAGGAGTTATTTTTATGTTTATTTAAGTTTTTAGTGTTGCGACTGTTAGAGTATTTACTTTGTAAGTATTTATTCTGTCTCTTGAGAATATATTTACTTTAACGAATAATGATTTACCACTAAGAAACAAGTTTTATGTTCACTTACCACTTATATAACACTGTATTTTATATGATCTGATCGACGCTTTTAATTACACTAGAGGTGATCAAATATTAATATAATACTGTAAAACTGTAATATTCAAAAATAGTTTTATTCGCCCAAGACGCTAGGTTGCAGAACCTACAAATGCTGTACCAACCTCCATGGTCTGCAGAGGGGCGTTCACGTGGAATCTCAGTGGAATGCCCTCCTATTAGCTTGACTCATGTAATATTTTTCAAATTCGGTATTTCTCAACAGTTTTGTGCCATCCTTCAGAGAGTTAGTAGTAAGGGTGTTGGTGTGTTAGTTATACTTAGTTGATAGTCTTTCGATGGAGAATAAGATATTTGAAACGAAGAGAAGGGGTGCGGCGTTGTTAGTAGACGGCTACCGTTTTGTTATACAAAGTGTGGTGTTAATAAGTGGTATTGCTATAGAAAAAATCGGGGAGGATGTCGAGCAAAATGCTTCACAGATTATATATAACAACGAGTAACAGTAACTGAAACGATTTTAACGCGTACCATTCTTCAGTCACGGTAGTGGGTTGAGTTTAAATAGAGACCTCTAGCTTTTGTCGATATTCTTTCTTCGATATATATTTCTTCGACTAATGGCCTATTAATATGAGGTGTCACTCGATGGGGTCACCAAAATAACCCATTTTTGGGTTTAATAACAAAATTTGAATACAACAAAAAGTTCACTTGCGTGATATAGAGACGTGTACAGAGTTTTGTTTTCTTGGCGTAACCCATTAAAAAGTTAACTGGTGATGTCCATACTTTTGCCCAGCCCTGTATATGTGAATAAACAAAATTTATAATTGAGGTATATTACTAAATAAATATGCAAAAACATACACCGAGTCTCATTTCATTATAATTAAACATGAGAAAATGGGAAGCAAATTCGTGTTGATTTCCCACCAGTTGTAACATCCGTGACAATTTTCTGTGATCATAGAAACGACCGAGATTATTACTTGCGATCACGGAAACGCCTAAAAATGGAGAATCGTCGTAAGAAACTTTAACGAACATCCGTGATCGTATGTTGCGATCGTGGCCAAATCCGTGATAATTTCTCGCCTCAAACATGATCAAACACAGAAATAACTGTGATGGTAAACTACGACAGCAATGATGATGACCGGTGATGATTTCACAATTGCGGCAACATTCGCACTCATCTCCAGCGATTATTTTAACACCCGTAACTATTTTTCGCGATCGACGAAAAATTAATGATCATCTTGCACTTGCGGCTTAGTGATCTATCGATATTGCGCCAATATTCGTGGTCATTTCTACAGTAGTTTCTCGCAATGGCGTTTTTCGATTACGCAAAACGTGTAAACTCTGTGTTCTCGGGTGGATTTTACGGAAAATATTTGACCATTTTTATTTCCCGGTTTCTTACTAAATTAAATTACAACTCATGGACTTTTTCCTGATAGTTAAAATTCACGTGCTATTCCCGGTTTCTAGGTTGGCAGAATTAGGTGACCCTGAATTATCACTACAAGTAGCCTATCAACCGTATCTAAAATGTATACTTATCAATTATGAAGTTTTTATCTGGTATTATTAATGTATACCTGCACATTATTCGCCTTATGTATACAAGTATAATTGTATCTGTATATTTCTTGGCCTAGTCTTGTATTTTATTTGTATTTCGTACTAAACAAAATCTGGACAGACTCGAACTCAATTCTGTGTATTCTAGTCATCACAAAGGATCTCATACTTCGACGCCAATTCCTAAGACAATTGGAACGCAGTGCGCTCAGTATTTCCAACTCATTGCTGAAAAGCATGTTTTCATGGTATTCCCAGCTCATTTCTAAATATATTACCTCCACCGCAGCCCCAGCAAACCTGCACACTAAGTGAATTTCAATTTGTTTGATTGGATTCTTACTAAAATTTTCCATATATGTTCAATATATTTATCACAATTGTGTTTTATTTATACTTCCGACACGTATCCTGTTGTGCTATTATTTGCATTGGATTATGTTTCTTCTTGTGCAATTTTGACGATGCCTACCTACACCTTGGTATATTTATAAACTTAAAACTTCAAATCTAATGATAAAATATGTGTTTATCGAGTTCTTTAACGCCAGTAATTCACTATAACGGGTTAAGAGCATTCATATAATACATTTAGTAAGAAACATTTTACATTCCATTGCAATTTTAATCCTTTATAACATATTATTTAATTATTTCTGACTTCATCGGTAGTTAAATGACTTTTTCTATTGATACGTGATTTAAATAAGTACAAAGTTAGTATGGCCTCTTTTAAGTAGCGACATGAAAAGCATTTAACTAAGTTATGAGCAACGTAAAGTGTTGTGTTTCAAAATCGTCACTGTGATGAGTGAGGGTTATTCTCATTCCCGTTTCTCCCTGCACGTTGCCAAACCAACCTCCCCTTCCTGAGGAATCCGCCGTGGCAGTTTCAGTGTTTCTAGCATTCTCAAAAACACCCTTATAATCCTCACTAATTGGCGTGGCAGTTTCGGTATGGATTATGATCATAAAACGTCGTGGCAGTTTCGGTACAGCCGCTGCTCCGACGGCACGCGAGCTCCAAATTTGAACCACTTTCCCTTTCGCCATCAGCCAAGCTTTTGTCCCCCCCTCGCACCTACCACGCCCTTCAAAGTGTCGTTTTAACAACGTATTTAAATGCATTAATATTAAACTGTCATCGATTATTCCGAGCGTGGCATAACTGTGCGTTATGTAAATCGTATTGGTGTACCGCAGAGAAGTGGTTTGGGCCCTGAATGTTTTGTAGGTTAAGTTGATTTATAAATAGACATTATAAATATATGCTTTAAGAAACATGTTGGCCTTATTCAGGAACAAGACAACAAGATCGTGCCACAAATCCTACACTCATCTCCATTCATACTTGGCTTAAAATACCTACCTACGTACGATCACCATTTCAATTAAAGTATGAAGTATTAGGTATGAATATTAATAGTTGTATTTTATATACTGCCGTGCATTGACATTTTAGACTCTAAATTGACATCAAAAACTCTAGTACACATCATATCTACATAGATCAGGTACAGCCAGTTTTCAATCGAATAATACACATTCCCAAAGACTTTGGTGCGATTCAATATTTTTCTAGTTATTCTAAATATGATGATCGATGAATTGAAATAACAAATTCCATTACTTATATTCAAAAAGTTACTCATATTCTATTAGTGTCTCAATTGTATTACGTGTTTTTTTTTATCAGGAAATTGAATACTTAGTTGATTTGGGAATGGAATTGATGTTTAAAGACGCCATATATATATAGTCAAATATGTTTCATAAATGTGTATTTTGCTTAGCATAAACTAAAATCCTATTTCAGTAACTAAGTCACACTAAAGCTCGGTCTATACATACAAATTTATCGTAAGTCTTGCATGGTCATGTTAGATTTTACAAAGAAAAAACCTGCGCACTCTCTATCCAACACCAAAAGTTTTAAACCCTCAAAATGACGTATAAAAGCATAGGTTTTGTACCCAATAAAATGGACTATAAACTAACTGTATTGACTGAAACTTAAGACAGTTTAAGATTGTAGTTAACTCTTTCACATTTTCAAATACTTACACTACAAACTTAACTTAAACATACACGTACATTCTTAGAACAAATTCGTCCCCATAGTTTTGCATCCGGGCAGCAGCACACTGACCCAATTTTCACGACCTTGCACCACCCACCGATAGTCCAAAAAGTCCGATCAGGCGTCAAGGATATCAACTCCATATCTTGATTCACCGTCTGCAAAACGGCAACAATGAAATCAGCTGACTAACTGTAACTTGTACCAGCTGATTGTGGTTGAACAGCTGACTAAATGTGAAGGTCCGAGTGATTCACCTAGTGACCGCTACGGTTAGCATTGACTTTGTTTTATGAGGGCGGTGTTTAATTATAGCTGATTGTCGGCTATTATCGAACCAGTATTACTAACCTTACATGTGATTCAGTATTTATTGGATGAAATGCGTTTACTTAATGGTCATGTTTGTTACATTTCCATAGTAGGTCATTTTTTGTTTGTCCCCTAAGCTGTAGAATATTATCTGTCAGCAATATAATTTGTCTAGCCTTTCAGACCTACGCTTTCTAGTTCTAGTTCTAGGGTGAGTTTTGAACTAGAGAGGTACGGATAATCAAGTGCGGGACTTTGGTCTCGACAGCTAAGGTTCAAATCCATACAATCGCCAATGACTATTAACTATGTGATGACGTCACGAGCTTAAGCTTAGAGCAAATTGTAGGTTCAACCAACCTATAGCTATTGGTCCACATGTTAAGAACACTCTCCACATAAATATAAACGTAAGAGAAACTTAAATAGTGCCTTAAGTAACAATTCTATTCTTTCAAGAGAATTCACGAAACCATAAATTTAAGAAAATGAACTTACTGAGTTTCACAAGCCATATTGCATAGTTTCAATAGCACCTTATAGAACCTTATGCCATATTGCATAGTTTCAATAGCAATAAGTTTCAATGGCATATTGCATAAATGTATAGACCATCATGTAAACTAGGTTTTCATTAAAACCCTGATTTCAATAGTAAAGTTATACTATAACTATAATTCAATAATTTTGTTTCAGGTGATCCCCACGATTTTGGGGGTTCTGCTATCCGCCGTCTTGCTCCAAACTGCAGGTAAGAAACTCAGCAAGTAATATCAAATATCTAGTTAACTAATACTATCTTTGTTGCAATCCAGCAACACTGTACATGTGCACTGGGCACATTTGTACCCAGTCGGTACTTGGCCTCATTAACACAGCGCTTCCATCTGTTTTTGTCCGCAGCGTCTTCTTCTTGAATTTCCAAAAGTCTCATGTCTTGCTGAGCCTGATTCCACGATCTAGTTATTAGTCTTCCCGCGGGCTTCTTCCAGGGACCCAGGGGAAGACTAACCTAAAACCCGTTCCCTTCAGGATGTTTTTAGGTGATTGATTCTTCTTATTTTATTAGTACATGTCCATTCCATCTAAGTCTCCTGCTTCTTATCGTCCCCCCAATGTCCACTTCTTTATACAATCAGGCCATAACTGGGAAAATAGATTCTTTTCTTATTGATAGCAACTACTGGTGGTAATGTTTTGATACTCCACAAAAAACTGGGACCTATTTCAAGACCAATATGGCTTTTCGAACTATGTAGATCTGCAACAACTTTGAAAGGCCTACAAAGTCTGTAGAAGGAGCGTCTGAAGCAGGTCAAGAGTAAAGGCCAAGCTCCACCCACATATGACATGCACTGGACTTTACAAACGGCGAGCTGTTGTTAATTAGGCTACTGACGAAGTAATTAACTACATCAACCTTGACACCCGTGATTGCAAGATTGGTAAATCCTTACTTAGAAGTGACTGATTAAATTTTGCAATGGAAATTGACTTTGGGCCACATTAGAAAGTGTTTTGCATTCGATGGTGGTAGATTTGGTTGGAAGTTCTTTAGAGAACCATGATCGAAGTAGGATTTGATTTTTGAAATTTAAACACGAAAATGATATCTGTGGGTTTCTGATAACACATAGAGACGTAAAAGTATTCTTTCTCACCTCAGTAACAGGTTATGAATTCTTCAAGTTTTATCTTCTACGAAAGAATCTATGATAAGTCAGATAATACTTCAGCGTATAAAAAGTTTTTTTTTCCAAATTAAAGATCGTTCTTAGATATAAATTCCTCGTGAGTTTTTCATCAAAATAATCTTAATTTCAACGCTATGACTTTTAAAACTTGACGAAAACAAAGTTCCATAAAATATCTTAGATGTTATGTACATTCTGCATGCGGTGTTCAATCTTAAAATAAACGGTATCAGCATTCTGACACATACTTTCTCCCATAAGTTTGTCAACAACCCCATGTGTAAGCGGTGACAGTAAATATACGGAAATGGGATTTGTATAATTTTCTACAGAATTTAAAGGACTATAACATACTAAATTTTTATCAAAATAGTTTGAGCCAATTTTGGGAAAATCTGATTTTCCGTTATTTTATGGGGGTTTTGTGGGAAAATAACATAATTTACAATAACTTTTGAACCGTAATTTTTACAGAAATGGGATCTGTTCGGACGAAAATAAAATTGTGTCCGTTCCGTACACGCACTAGTTTTAGATTATAGGATTTAAATTTACTTCTCAAGTTAACATTATCGGCTCCATTTTCTCCTTTTTATAAAAATATGTCATAACTTTATATATTTCCTATCGAGCTTAATCTAGTTTAATTTAATAAAGGCCGCTTTTCATAGCACTGAGATGATTGACGTTTAAGATTTCTTCCTCGATTGAAAAACCTGAACGACATTATCATTATTGCGGTCATCAGTGATGAAACGTTTCTTCCAAGGTCGCACTTAAAAGTATATCTACAGTTATTCCAGAAAGCACATTCCTTCACAAGGTCGTGTTAGAAATATAAACTTATATAAAACCTAATCCTAACAGGAATGTAAGCTTAACTGTTTGATTGTGAAATATAAATTCTTTCGAAGGCAATTCCCAAGGCATGCATATTCACAATATTTCTAACTTTCTTGAGGATGTTTGTTTGGGTGAATTTTATAGAAACTCACTCCGGCTCCCTTTATCTCAGCTTTCTTTGAATCCACTTGATACAGCAAATTGTGTCAATTGAAGGTAAGTGCAAACTGCCCCAAGACTTTAAACATCAATCAATTGTCTCAATTAGGTTTTGCTCTTTTAACGATGGAGGAGTGTGATGAAGCAAATCTCCTCCACCGGCACCACCAGAACCGAATAAACTGACTCTAGTTAACTGCATCTGGGGTTTTCCCAAAATTGATACATCAAGTTGATCTTCTTTGTCTTTATTGTTGATAAGTGAGCGGACTTATCTACGATGTGGATGAGTGTCCCTAGAAATGGCTTGACTCGTTCACTGCTGTTTGCACAAAACTTTAGATTCCAGAACTTATCCAGACGGTTTACTATAATTCAATAAACTCAATCCAATTCGCTGAATCTACGATTTACTTAACACCACTCGATAGTTTCAATCTTGTCTGATGATAAGTGCGAACTACTGCGGAGGAGTGGCTCCACGTAACCTTGCGGTACTCCATAAGCGTCTGACGCAACTCGCTCCACTCCGCTCCAGCTACGGGTCGGCCCGCGTGTTTACGGCGTTTATCAGTCCAGATGGACAGACAGAATACATTATTTGCAGAACCAGTTCTATTCTTGCGCAAGTTTGGCTCTTGTGTGATCTCGCGCGTGGGTATCCAGTCCAGCCAATGACTTTGTTGTTCACCCATTGATCTAGATTGATGAAGAAAATATTCGCTACAGTTGATACAAGCTTTCAACGCGATGTATATAAAGCACCATGTAATTGTTTGATCATTTTGTACCTTTTCATTTCCTAATTAGAGTGGTTAATGTGAACTATACTATTATCCTACCACGTTGGACATTCATTGATGGACTTTTCTGAACTTCAAACTTGTTATACCCAATGGAACTAGGCAGTGTGATCAGATGTATTTCTATAAAAAAACCTGGAGAGTGAGACGCTTTCGTCGACTCTAAAGTTAAGATCTGAAACCAATATTAGATCGTATTTGCATACTTATTAATGATACTAAACTCAAAACCAAACATTCCTGAATGTTGCGGAATGCCATGGATACCGATTGGGTTTGGAGGTTTATGTAGAATTTGTGATATAATTTTAATTAAATTGAATTTCAAAAGTACAATGGTTACACTCCAATAAGCTACGGTTTACCGCAAGATTACATCAAGAGATCCTATATAATATCAATCTGAAGCACATTGGCCACAATCTAGATATAAACCAATTCAAACATTATTTCTTAGCTGTAATGAATTTCCTTTATTTCATAACTAAGGTACTTAAAATTAAGTTCAACTTAAAAACTTTTAATCAGTTGTTATGAGTACAGTGTTTAAATTCAATTTCCTATGCAAAGACTTTACAATTATTTGTCAAACTTAAGAGAGAATTATCTATTTTTTATTTTAATTGGATTTCATGAGTCATATTCTCCAACACTTTATTTTTCGATTGGTTTTGGAATGCTCTATACATTTGAGAATCAGTGAAAATGTTTTTTAAAATTTTTTTGGGCAATAACATATTAAGTAAGTTGCGTCAGGGTATGGTGTACCTCAGGGTTACACTTTGGGACCACTCCTTCGCATATAACAGTGTAATCTCCTCCACTTATTGGCGACATTGACTCCTAATTCACCTGTCGGGCTTCCCGTCAATTAGATGGGTCACTTGTAGCTTTCACTTTCCTCGAAGTCAAGACGTAACTGTCAACTTTACTAACGATGGAGACAAGAATCAAACTTCACCGATCGCCAAAAATGTTGATGTTAGATATTTCAATGACAGAATGTTTGATATACTAATATAGTGATTAGGCCTATTAAGAACTGAGCCTACTTAAAACTCTTGATGGATTTAATATATGAAATATTTTTGTTGCTTGTTTAATTATTTTCTTTTTTCTTTTCGCTCTTAAACAAGCACTTTCCATTGCATCTTTCATCTATTGTTGTAAAAATTTTCTTCCATTTACTTTATACTCTTTTTGATTCTACCTTCTACCTAAATCTTTCTCCGTTTCTTTTTAATCTTCTCTTAATTCTCTTTCTCCTTATCCTCCTTTTTTCACTATTCATCATCGCATTGACTTCCTTATACTTTTGAACTTCATTTATTTTAATCACCGTTAATTTTCTCTGTTTTCCATAACTCCCCCCCCCTCACCCACCACTTCTTTAACATTTTCCTCTTTTTGACTTCTCGTACATTTATAAACTACCTATCGTATTTTCAGTCATCTGTTGTTCATTTACCCCGATTCCTTAATTTTCTCTCCCACCGTCTTGTTTTTCTCTTTAATTTTTCTTTGTTATTTCCCCTCTTCCATTTATTTTTCCTTGCTATCCTTTCTCAACCTTACTTCTTCAATTTGCTGTTGTTCTTACCCCCGCTATCCTCTAATTTGTTACCCCATAACCCACTTATCTTTTCCACTTCATTCCTTCTCTTCTTGACTTGTTCTACATTTCTAACTCATCCTTGATGTACCAGGAGCGGACTGTCCAGGGGAGAGCCCCACCAAACATCTAGTCTGCTACGTGGACGCTATTCCTGATGACTTCGACCCTTGTCTCTGCACCCATCTTGTGATCAACACCCCCTTGGACAAACTATCGCCCCAACATGGTGAGTACAATGCATTTACTAAAAATAGTGTTGAAGTATGCAAGATAATTTGGTTTAGTATAAAATTCTTTGATGTTTATGATGTATATGATTTCAAATACAGTTGTGCTCCCTTGAACCTTTTTATCTTTTCAGTTTGTGTTTGAGACTTTCATTATTAGGTTGATTCTACTAACTAACTAAACTACTAAGACGCCCCTGGAACACTAGTCTGGAACTGTTCATTTCAGAATAGCTTCTTCGTTGATTATCAATTCTAGTAAACCCTATCAGTTTTAACCCCAAAGAACAAATGGCATCAACTACTCAGAATATTTATTTCATTCAACAATTTGTTTGCATTCAAGTCGGTGACGTCATGTTTAGAACAGTCTTATTATTTTAGTAATCGTAAATACATTAGCATTAGCAAGAAGCCAAGCCAGGCTCCTCGCATGAGTCCATCTCTACCGACAGCCGCCTCGCGTTGTATTCAGAGCATCTGCACTATCTGCAGGTATTACACAACAAAGACTTTTATACAAGAAACTTGCAGATTATTCGCGAACGCCCATTGTCGGATAATAGAACGATTAAGATACGGAACCGATAATTCAAGACGGGGCGGAGCGGAGGCGAGGCCATGACACCGATATCTGGGGCTATTTGGCCCATGTCACCGCGGCGGGAAATTTATCTCGTGAGTGTCAGTGGTTGGCAGGACTTATTGCCATGTCAGTGTCCATTGTTGGCAACGATAGCCCAGTGGCCTCTGACCCGGTAAGTATCGATATTTCGAGATTTCGCTATCGGGTCGGAGTTGGGGCACAAAATTCTACTACATCGATCAAAATGATTATACGAGTGCATTAGACGTCATTAGATAAATGGTTCCAATTTATTTGAACTTTATACTGTAATAGCTTAATCGGAATATTTTTGGGTTACGAATTGGATGATCTTATAGTGAGTCTGTGACTTGTTCTAAGTCAGCGATATCTTTGGTTCGCTTCCTGATACCGCCAATAGCATCCTACAGTTCATTCTTTTACTTTGAAAGCAGCTCGTCCCTTGATTTGCTGGATACGTTTCTCGCAAATGCCCGAGACCTAGTGATAATCAGGAGGGGAAGGCAGAGACTAAAAAGTCTTTTGAAAAGGACACAAATAACTAAACAAGACTTTTCTCTTCCATTTCGTGACTGATAATTGCATATAAACCACGTTCATTTACCGGTAGGCCCTACCTTAGTTTGAACTGATTGGAACGCATTGTATTCTCTGAATGAAACCAGTTAAACCCACCTTTACAACGAAAGCCTTTTGTCAGTGAGCCTTGCACAATAGTTTATACTATTTATGTTATGTTCCGGTCACCACGGCCGGCTTATTTTATTACTTAGCCAAAGGTTAGCCACGCCCTGTCTTTTGTATGGAAGATAACGTCGAGAATGTACCATGCGACCCGTGGTATACTGATTATGTATATCATGGTTTCAGTTGGGAAATCGTGATATAGTTAGGTCTCAACACCATTCCATTTCCATTTTGTAGTGTTAGTATTGAAACCGTCAGGAGATGTGTAAGATACAATTTTATCAAAATCCACGATGAAGATCAAGGCCAGAACATCTAAATTTTGAAACCTGTTAAAACCTCTAAATATATATAAACTTTTTTTCAAGTTTTTATACAACTAATTAACATATTCAGTATTGCCTTCAGAATTGATTTATGAAAAATGAAATAGGTTTAAATACCTTACGTCGTCAATCCTTACTGTAGTCTCAGGCTTACTGTGACTACAGTAAGGATTGGCGACGTAAGGTATGTAAACCTATTTCATTTGTAACAAATGAACGACTCCGTAAGCCAATGTACCTTCGATACCATTGTTTAGTAATATCATTGTATATTACTACTCACTGGTATTAAACTCAACGGTAATTTTACCTCGTTCTTTGGAGACTCCAATGGAAAGCTACTATGAATGGTCTTAAACTTACTTGTCACTACAACACACAAAGTGGCACCTTCTACTCTTTGAATTTCAGGATTCTGCTTTTATTACCCCCAGAAATTTTACTATATTTTTCTCCAAAAATGATAAAGTGATGCTGACTAAGTCATGTCAGCACTCCCAAAATATTGCAATTTACAGCAAATAAATCCCAATCAACGACACAGATCTAGCAGAATTCCACAACAAAGACAATACCTACTTCAAGATCATATTTCAATTTAATATTCTCCTCTCGCTGCAATCTCAATGGGGAAAGTGAAAAGGTAATTTGGTAACGCAATGTATTCTGCCCACTTGTCTGAGGGCAGGTGACAAAACGAATTAATGTCGGGTTATGTTGATTCGCGCCGTTCTGTTGCACAACCTGGCTAATGAACAATCAGCTGATGCATTACTTTGAGGTTATGTGAGGTTAGGTTTGATTATCTGATAGTGCTAATTATTGGGTCATTGAGCTATCGTATTTGAAAGCAGCAGTTGTTTAAAGAAAGGTCCGTGCTGTCAGCTATTTTGGCGAAGAGTTGTTTGAAATTGTTATTTGTGCCATATTTTAAAATAAGACAGTAATGTTGTAAAATTGTTTTTTTTTTAAGAATTCCACTCGCCTTCATGCGAAGAAATCCTATAGGAGAACATTTTCTTTGTAAAGTTTCTTTTATAATCCAGTAAAAGGATATTACACATTTTTTTTTATATACACGTACCTACCTTAGGTACCTGACATTATTTTCCCTGGCAGAAGAGGATAGTCCTAAAACAGCCACAGTTGGTTTCAGTTTAATCCTCATATGTTTCAGCCCTCTGGAACTTCCCGATCACGTGACGTCACGATGCTAAAACAAAATTGGATAAAGGGATTTAGTGTGTGAAAATGTATTAGCGAAAGGTACTACAACATAAATACGGGTATTTCGCTTCAAAAATACTTGCTATAGAGTTACAAATTCACATATTTATCTTAGGTTGCCAAACAATTTTTTAAAGAATCAAAACACTTGCTTACCTAATCAGGCCAACTTAGCACTTTACAATGCAGTACGAAAGAAAAGAACATTCGGCTGAATACCATTGAGCACAAACTACGCAGAGTGTATATAATTGAGCATTGTATTGGGATGAATGGAATATGCGAATTACATACCGGTAGCAAAATATTATATTTACTGAATTTATCCAATTAATATTATGGATTTAACTCTCCTTCATTTATTGATTGCTAGTTACCTTTGCACTTTTCCAAGTTCTACAACCACATTTGAGCTAAACACCCGTAAATTGCAATTATAAAACCCTTAAGAGTCTTAAAAACCCAATTTTAAAAGCCCAGTTACAGATCATGGCCTGTTAAGTCCTTTACATAAAGATGAAAGTTCAGCTTATAGCAGGACAATGGCAGTGGGTAGAAGTGCCGAGATAGCTTGTCCGATAAGTTATTGACAATACAACCTACATGTTACTGGCGCCTCTGATTCAGATTCTTCATTGAGACTTACGATTATATAAGAGGGGCTTAAAACGCGCAGCTTTTAGATTGCATAATATTTCCACTGCAATTCTATCAATATATATTATATTTTTGTTATATATCAACGTAAATATTTGTTATAATCACTTTTTAAAATACCATGACGTACAGTACGTTGACATATTTTTTTAACGGAAATTTGTTTTGGTTTCCAAATTATATACTCGTACTTAAAATCATAGCTAAAAGATTGTTTATTGTCCTTATAAGAGGCATTAGGTATGGAAAATTGACAAACACCTTCAAGGGAAATCAGTATAAATCTTTCAAATATTGTTAATATACGGGAATAGAGCCTGTCTCCCTCAAAGCATCCGAGTCCATAAAAACTAAGTTATTGTTACACCAAATTTAGTTTTAGTTCAATATCATAAAGTTTTTCTCGAAACGGACTTAATTATCTCCCGCGTTTATGCAATATTTCAGCAACATCTTTTAGATTTGTGGACAATTACATTTAATTCTTCGACGTCCATAAAGAACTTCCGATGGTAATAGGAAACCCCGTATTTTTACGAATTTGACCTTTATTAAACTCTTCTGCGAGAGGTTGTATATTTTCAATATCTTGAGTCAATTTACTACCTTGATTATAGTTCTTTGGTATTCTTAGATTATCTAGACAGTCCCTTGAATAGCACACACGATATAACATTCACGTTTTCTGGAACTAACAAAGACTCAGAAACATCATAACTATATGCTACCCCAGGAAGGTACAAACATTGAAGAAGCCTGTAAAGACATATATTATACATTATACTTATATTTTACATATCAAAGGACATTTCTTGGCCAATTTTACAAACTGAACATATTTACCAAATTTATCGTGGATGGCATAAGTAGGCATCACTTGTGCAATCTAATTCAAACATATGAAACCCTTAGAAAGTGTTTGTCAATTCTGATCATTTAACATTGAACAAGGATACGTTGGGACATATGGACCTTGTGTAACATCAGATTATAAAATAAAGATGGCTACCATAACTAGATCTAAATTATAACAAGATAGTAAAACATAGTCGGTATATTAACTACAACAGTAGCATTAACAACAACGCTAAAGAGGCTCATATAAATATATAGCCAAATGTATGATATTTGCTAAATACTTTATTTCACCACATAACACATTGCTTAACATTTGTAACTTCTCCTTTGATAATGTCACAACCAGACACTTCTGAGGTAGTTTTCGCTGTAACACACATAGAATGGACGCTGACAAAGCCAAATGTGGTCTTTTGTAGTGAGGTTGCGGACATGATATCAAAATGATTGATCACATTACTTTTTGTTGTGTAGGTCAACGTGCGCAATAAAGTAAAGATGACAGCATGTCTTAAAGCTTACTTGTGGTTGGTTACCGATTGAAGTATTAATGTAAGATTTTGTAAATTGATGGTCTATAGAACAGGTGGTGATAGGGCATGTCCATAAAATCTTTAAACGTTTTGAATGTTCAAATTTGTATATAAGTGTTCTTTATGCATGTGCGTGGCTTATTAAACAATTGTGAATCTGTGAGGAGAATGTTTTCACGTCGCTGTAGAGACATAATGTTGGATTTATATAACCCGAAATGTATGTGTAGCCAATATACATACTAGAAAAGGCTTTGCTTGGACTGAAGGTGAATGAGATAGTAAGTGCGAGTAAAGGGTTTGGTCTCTAGTAATCTCCAAATGAGATAGTAGCTATTTGATGGTTCGAAGCTGGGCCCCCACCGTCCTTGATCTTTGATAAATTACCTAGACTAAAGAAATTGATGATTTTCGTAACCAACAAAGGCTTCATAACACTCTATTACTTATTAATCATTGTTCTTTAGCTTAAAATACTCACCTATATAGGTGGTGTGTCTGTTTCAAAAGGAATGATAACTATACGAATAGTAATCAACGGTAAAAATGATAGATTATTTGACTACTTATTAGCGTCTTTATTATGTTATCTTCGACACGGAATTTGAAAAATAATCAATCGAAAATTGAAACAATACTAAACGTAACCTTTACACTGTTCCCTTGAAGAGCACGGGACACTAAGAATACATATTAGCTTGCTTCTTTGCGTATTTCCATTCTTAATTAGAGATTTATACACATTTTCTTCAAAGAGTTTTTCTTCAAATGTCTTCAAACTTATATTGAAAAAATATACCATAACTTAACCTAAACCAACCTTAACATTATTAACCCAATAAATCTGGCACAAAGACTAGCTATTGCCTTCTTGAGTATGTTACTCCGTTCTATAACACAGTCTCCAGGAGGAATCAGCAAGTAAGAAACTCAGCAAAAAATAAATAAAAACCTAACTTAACCTAACCTAAAGAGTAATTATAATGAACAAATGGGACACTAAGACTAACTGTTTCCTTCTTGAGCATCTTACTCCGTTCTGTTCTTCAGGAGGAATCAGCAAAAAAGTAATTAAACAAAAAACTTAACCTAAAAAGTATTTAAAATTAACACATGGTACACAAAGACAGTATTACCAGAAGGAATTCCCGTAGTGAAACCAGTGTCAACGTTATGAGCGGGGTCAGGTCAGCAGTCCTAATCCAGAAGGTGGTTTTCCCGCCAAAGTACCGCCGGCTAGGCAAAGCTATGGCTAATCACTGCCTACCAAATACGACCGCCATTAGCTCAAGTTGTGAAATTGGCGGGAGAGGCGTGGTGGTCCTTGCCAAATCTAGGGGTGGTGGGCCGCAAGAAATACAACATAACCTCATTGTTTACGGCGGAATTCTGCATCCATTGTCTCTTTAATTGGTTGGAGCTTATTTAAATGCCTAGTTAAGTGGTTAGGCCGTCGTGACTGAGTGGATATGACTTTGATACAAATAGGATGTAAAGAGAAGTGCGCCTTGTTTTATTTATGTACTTCTTGTTGTTCTCAGGACATTATTATTTCTGTACGAAACTATATTTTACAAAGCCATTAAGATTCTTTTATGGAAACGATCATACGTATCACTAGTTTTATTTTGTTGTGTTCGATAATAGAATACGTATAGAAATAGTGACAACACATCTACCTAAATTCAAAACTATAACGTTGCGACCTACAGTATATACGATTCCAACGTTGTGGTATTAATATTCTATATACTTAATACAATAAGGGGTTTTCTCTGTAACTCCTCTTTTTAAACGGTCTAGCACCTGTGTTATGTCATGCCCACTTGCGTAACAATTATTTCTATAGTTCACACCGTGGTTCACACTAATGATTTATCTTTATCTGAGTTGTAATCCAACAGCTGACCCTTCAGTTGATTGTTTAACCACAATCGGATTGTAAAGAGACGAAACAGTTTATAAAAGAGATTTTAAATAGGCTACTTTTTTATAATTGCAACTTGATTAAGGTAGGTAAAACACCCTTCAATCTTTATGGCGTGGATCTAAATTCAACAAATGTAAATTAGTAGTCTTATTCATCTCATAACTGTTCTAATCAATCATAACCTTTGAAAGTCAAGGGTATTTCCTTATTAGTTTGGCCTAGGAATTAGGTTCTGATGCCTATAAAAATGCACAATTTGCCTGTCATATTAACGATAAGGTTCTTGGGCTTGAGCATTCGGAGTTTTTAACAGTCAACCGTCACGAGTTTTTATCCAAGCTCGTCAAAATGCAGGTTTGTTTCTACAAGCTAGTCTCATATCGTTTGCTGATTCATCCAAACCAGGTTAAGTTATCCGCAACACATTCGTTTTCACTTACCACTGACCATGTTAAGCGTCATCGGCAATCGGGTCTTTGTTGAAATGGACAGCGCGTTATGTAACCATTTGTCCAAATTCCTGTGTAGTGTCCTCTTGAAGATCTTAGAAAGTGAATGGTTTAAGTCGTGGTTTATGAAACAAGTTTAGCCAATCTATGGTTGTTTTTTTTTAGTTTATAGTTATTAGTTTAAATTTCAAACAGTTAATCCTTTTTATGTTTATTTGCTACAAATTACTCATCACTACTTAATTGTTTTACAATCCTTGTTTCCCCCTTGAGTTTCCTTTGTATGTTTCCTTTTCTCCAAACGTCTTAAACACCAAAACTCTCCCATTCTTCTTCATTATCCCTTCCTTTCATTATTATTCCTCGTCTCCTCCTGGCTTCTACTTAGTGTATCATTCTTCCTTGTTCTGTATCTTTCAGGCTTCCTCAGAATTTTCTTTACCAGCCATCATCTTTTACTGTCCACTCGTTGACTAGCCTTTTGTCTCCTTCTTTCTCCTTCTTCCTCTTCTGTTTCTTTTTCCCACACTCTTCACAAATGGTTGCCTTTTCTCTACTGCTTCTACGCCTACTTTCTACCTAATCCTTCTCTACTTCTTTACCTTCTCTATCTTACACGTTTCATACCATACTCTCTTCTATTTGTCTTCTGTTCCTCTTACATTATTTTCCTTTTACACAATTCCTCCCCCCTTAGTTTCACAGTCACTTTATTATTTCTCCTTCTCTCATTACTTTGACTGAAACTTCCCACCAACTTCACCCACAAAACTCCCATAACAATTACCCCCCCCCCATTTATCTAACTTCTCTTTGTTTACCACCATCTGCATCTGCTCTGTTTATCCCAGCGAACATATGGTCTGTCCTCACAATTTTTACAAACACCTGTCTTGTCTCCATGTCTTCTCTTCCACGTCTTCTCTACGTCATCAGTCTTTGCCATCTATGTAACACTTCTTAAATACTCGCCTTCATTCGCGAAGCGTTTGTGGGTTCTTTAGAACCCATTAACAATTTACAATCACCCCCAATTCTGTAACCTCTCTTTGTCACAGATGTGGTGGTGGCCGCCAGTCGCCTCCAGAGCCACAACCCCTCGCTGCGGTTGGTTGCGAGGCTCTCAGAGGGTGCCGAGGTGGCTCTCAAGCGTCGTGGGGCCCTCGCCCGCACCGTGGCTGGCGTCGTCCACAAGCTGGGCTGGGACGGTGTGGAGTTGGACTTACAGTGGGGCAAGGAGGTGGCCGCCAAGGTGCAGCTAGTCGACTTCGTTCAGGTACGTGGATCTCTTAGAAAGACGCTTGTTAATGTCGAAGTGGCTGAAGAGAAGGACATAGTCCTAGAATTGCCACAGTAGGTTTCAACCCACTGGGACATCCTTAAGGTATAACCTAACTCTGAAAGATACTTCTCCGAAACATTTAGCGGTGCCTTTTTTAACAATATATGGTCTACACATTATTTCGGAGCAGTACCTTAGGACCACATTATTTCAGAGCAGTTCCTTAGTACTGCATTCTTTTGGAGCAGTACCTTAGAACCACATAATTTCGGAGCAGTAGGTACCTTAGTACCGCATTCTTTATATAAGAGTTTATTTCAGAGAAATACAACGCACATTTGCATCCCCAACACGTTAATATCGAATGGCCATTGAAATAAAATAAGGTACGAGATGATCCGAGTTGGATTTTAGGAAGCAGTATTTACATTCATCTTTTTGTATTTTGCTTTTGTATTGAATGTTTTTTTTTTTTGTATGTGTATGCAAAATTCACTTAAAACCAGGATTTGAATACTTTTTTCTTTGTCTAAAAATTACATTTTGAAATACCCAATTGCATTTACATACTAGCCTTTAAAGCATTCGTGTAATCAAACTCAATTTTATACTCCTGAACTTTTAAAAGGTTACCACATTTACCACGTGTATGCAAATCTATTACGACCGTGTTATTCAACCAGTGGTCACTTGGTCGGATCAGGTCTGCCAACGTGAGAAACTTTATAGTCAGAGAGGTTATGTTAATACACCTTACCAGACTTGCGAAACTCGAGGACAGATCTGGAAACCTCAGTTCATTCCTCTACTTCTATTTCAATTCCAGTTTTTCTAGACCAACTGGTTGTTCTCAATTTGACACTGATTCTCGTTTAACGTTTCTATTTCTAAAATGTCAAAATGGAATTGCAGTACTCTGCTATACCTTGGTATTAGGTTTGCACGCAAATTAAGGTCTCCAATAACAGGAACGTTGATTTACAAAAGGTCATAGTACTCCCTTGAACACTTTTTCCAATAGGCCTAGTTTTTTCAAGGGTTATCATAGTACTGTAATGTTGATGTTATAAAACTGTAGGCCTACGTGCACTAGTATTGTGCATGGGCTGATTGATCTTCTGTTATTAGAATTTAGTTCGTTGAAATAAAGAAGTCGGTCGGGGATCGGACAAACCTGCAGCCAATAGATACAAACCTTAGGGTAGGCCACATCCAAGACCACCATTTGAATTAACTATGACGAAGGCACACGAGCAAGCATTACCAAATAATCTATATACAGTATGTGCCATGAGGAAGTACCAACAATTTAAGAATAGCTTTAAAGGGGCAAAATAAAACCAACGTTTCGATAGCAAGATATCATCCATGTTGTATTTTGTGTTTGAATTCATGTCTTTAAAATATTATAGATGTATTTATGAAATTTGGTATGCAACTAAAAAATAATCAGAAGGTCTTGAGAAAAACAATCGTTAAAAATATTTTTAGTTTCAAAATGCCGTCTATTTTAATTTTATAACTAACATTACCTATGCTATGAAAAAGTGCTGATTTGATTTCAAATGTGTAGAACACTTATTTACCATGTTCATAACTCATTATTCATAGATTTCTATCAAACAACGCCAAGTTAATAAAGATTGAATAAATAAAGGTGAGAAATCACTATTTTTAGGTCCAAAATTAGGCGAACTCTGCTCCTTGTTCTTATGTTTCCTGATCTGTACGACTAAAAACTGGAAACGTCACGGTCATCTCCCGAAGACCAAGATTTTACATTAACAATTAATTTATCAAAGTTTTGGCACACCTTTACGCTTCAAACCCTACTGGGTTTTTAAAGTGGAAAATACTGTAATGCCACTTATAGCTAGGGAATACTATGAAAAATCATACATCGCTACGTATTTATAGATTTTGATATACAACCGCTATTATCTCTTCGCATAAATCTACGTAGTCATTTATAGTCCGCCCAAGTACAGTGTGACCTCCTATTTTGGAGTAGGCAGCGCCCCACACTTACACTGATATTACTTCAGATCACTCAGTTCCCACACCAAGACACAGGATCACCTTGAAGTGACTCATCAGGAACTGTTGTATCGATAAATAAAACATACCCCCGCGTAAAAGGCTTTGATTGTAATGATGTGTTGTTGGCAACTGATCTTGTATTGGTGGCTGAAGAGGACATAGTCTTAAAACAGCCTCAGTCCAGTAGGGGTTCAGCTCTCTGGACTGAAACTTCACGAAGAAGGGAAATAAGATCTAATATTGGTGAGGTATTTTTGTGTTGACGATTCTTTTAGCTACAAAAATGTACCATTAATTGATTTTCAACCGGGGAATTTAGGACATTTCACTTTTCTCCCGAAAACTTTCTCGAAATATTTTTAAACGCTTAGGCTGAAGAGGGGCTAGGTTTAAGAACGCACTGCTCACCGAATGAATCGTCATGGACACTTCACGACTGTACAGTACAGTTAGATAGAGAAGACACACAAGTAAGCACATTTCTGCTCTTAGCGCTTTCTTCAATCTTTTCTGATCCAACTTAGATCTTAATCTTAAACCCAGCAACTGATTTCTAAATTTGAATTCCGCAAAACTTTTTACAATCATTCCCAATATCAAGAATGTCAACATGCAACATGTAAATGATAAGATATATTATAGGGAAGCTTCAAAAATGAAATGTCTCGCTCTAAATCCCTCAGAAACTACTCCAGTCTATCCTGATCAACAAAATATTTCCCAACAACGAAATTTTATCTTAAGCCTAACACCCAACTCCAAGGTTGAACTCCACAAGACCATTTTATTTGCAACGAATCACAAATCTCAAGACTTCAAACAAGCAAACATTCCACCTTAAAATATAAAGAAAAAACCCCAATGTAGTTAACTTCTCAAAATAAATCTCTTAGCACCCACTAACATCATACTTATCAAATTACATTCCTAGGGTTGATCATTGCAAGACATAAAAGAATGCCAACTCTCAAACCATCTACTGTAAAAGAGGAAAAAGCCTCAAAACTATAGTAAATTCTAGCAACAAATCACTTATCACTAATAAATATTAATTCCATCCATAAAAAAGACACCAACATTACCCCCAACTCAAATCCTAATCTCATTCTCAAACATCCAAGGTCTTCGCAGGGACGTTGAGAAGTAGTCGGGGAGTGCGCAGGTCAAGACATGCATCAACCTGTCGCCAAAGATGAGACAGTAAACCACCTTGAGGTCGACAACTAAACGTAATTTATCGAGAGGCGATGTCGGGTCGAAAGGTGAACAAGGTGGAACTGGTCTCATCAAAGCAAGGTGATCTAGAGAAGATGGAACCGTAACTGGTTTCCCCCTTGACTTTAGGTTTCATTTTCTTTTCTGCAGCTGAAGATGATTCCAGAGTGTTTAGTTTTATTTTTTGGCGAGAGGGTTTTTGTTGGGATATTTTCAAGTGGGAAGATGGTTCGGAGAACTTTGCTCTTTTTCACCTTTGAACTTTGGTTGACAAGGAGTTCTGAGTTTGATGGATTTTGTATGGATATTTCATGTTTTTAAATCTTAAAAGAGTGTAAGAAAGGAGATGGAATTTCTGAGGAAGTTTTGAGTGGTTAGACGGTTTCCAGAACTTTGCTCTTTTATTTTTGTCTTGACATTTTTACTTTTGGCTGACAAATGTTTCGGAGTTTGACATATAAATGTATGGTTACATCTTCCCTTTTTATTTTAATATTTCAGAGACTCCCAAACTCAGTCGTGTTTAATAGTCTGGACCCACTCCAATATTAGTTAGACGTTTTTTTTTTTTTAGATTATTACCTTATGCTATAAACAAATGTCTTCCACGTAGTAACAGTAAATAAAATGGACGCCATCAGTTGAGGATAATACAAATAAATCAATATTTTAATGTGATGTTGTGATGTGATGTTTAACACGGGGTCTGTAATACTAGACGAATACTATATTTCTCAAATTTAAGAAAATTGAAACACCACAGGCAAATGTTGCTTCAATACATTACTAACAATCAACTCATTACTGTATTTCATGCATTGAACTGTGAATGGGATGTGTAAAGATATACAAAGATATGCATTCATAAACGTATACAAAAACTACAACAAACGTATACTATATACAACAAAAACTTTAAAGTATCTCCTCAGAGGAAATCGACTAATACTGTATGTAGGCCCGATAATACTTTGATGAACTATAATATACTATAATCATTAATATAACAAAATTACTTTCATTCCAAGCAGTCTACTTCTTTAAAGTCAGATTAATAGAGAACTGAGTTACTCAGTTTCCTCGTAAATTATAAATCGAAGGCAATCCACAGTCGAACCGTGGTATTATTGGCTCACACACAGTTTCCCTAAATTTTTGGTTATGTTGAAATCCAATTAAATGAGAGATTTATGTTTTGGCCCCTATATTCTTAAGCAATTTAAAATATTAAATTTAATCATTGGAGTGTAAATTGGCTATTTTGAACACGAGTCCAAGTTTCACCGAGGCGAAGCTAAGGTCAGAAAATCATAGTGAGGGTTGAAAAGACACTTTGCCCATGAGATGACTATATTTCTCGTCATAATGCACCATTTTAAGGCAAACTAAGTTACAAAGCTAAAGTAATTTTCATGAAAAGATAAGCTCCCAAATTGATTTTTATCACAGGTAAAACTTTCACTTCTTTCTTCTTTTTAATTTTCCTATTGTGAATAAGCATATGATATTTTAGAAAGATATTTCGTCTATTACGATGTTTTTGTGTCCGTTATATTAGTTATGTATACAAATATTGATACATGAGTAGTTTTTGGCATTTCTTGGGTTTTCAGTACAATAATCTTTTTCCAAGTGCCATCCACCTTCTTAGATTCAACGTAAACAAATTTTAATCCAACAATCGTTTGAAACAATCTATACAATTGATTGTTTACATTTGAGTTAACAAGTGATCAAAATTTACTGCCAACGTCATCGTCTCCAACTGATTTGTACACCCTAGTTATACGAAAAAAATAGTTCATCACATGGGCAAAAAGTGTGAAACTTGGTTCGAAAAGAGTCACTTCACGCCCTAGTGATAAAATATACTTTGGGTTCTTGTAGCTATCCCTAAGTTATTTTAGCAAGCACACAAAATATCGAAATTATTACCAACACCGTATTCTTACCAACATCGTATGCAGCTTTCCTTACTGGATTTTTTATCCAGTTGCATTAATCGTTTGAACAGTTACTGCTTTTATTTCCTACTTTCAGTTATATGCATTTGTAGTTCGATCCCACTTGTAAAGAAGCCGTTATGGAGTATGATATAATTGAATTATGCTTTGTGCATAATGGACCACTTACATATTCAAAGGTCGATTTATAGTAATTAGTTGTTCAATGCATTGTCAATAGACTCTCCCTCTATTACGTAAGGATATGATGCTGTTGACATTTACCATAATGTTTGATTACGTATTATGAGTAAGTTTGGTTCATAGTTGTTTGTTATTGTTCCTTAAGTGACATTACTTTGCAAAGACCGCTATAATATAGATTCTTTTCCTCCCATGGTTAATAATATAACCAGGTATGATGATAAAAATCACCGTTATTATGATAAGTTTCACCGAGGCGAAGCTAAGGTCGTTTATTGATGCATTCACATGCCGTTCACAAGGTACCAACATAATCTCCTAAAATTGCGTATTAATTGATATCTGAACAATATTTACATCACATCCATCACAAATAATAGTCTATAGTATTAAAGATTTCAAGAAATTTGTTTCGTAAGTGTAACTGGGTCACATCGGTGTTCTAGGGATGAAATAGTTTTACGATTTTGGTTGACTTTGAGCATCGACTTTGAAAACTCGTGGATATCACATTATTATGGATTAGCTGTACCAGATGGAACACTTTTTTTAATTTTTATAGAATTATTTCTAAAGAGAAATATGTTATTTTGCACAGTTGTCCTTTCAGTTTTACAATTAAAAATTAAAATAGATTTAGTGAAGCTATTCAAGAAAATTTATAATGAAAATTAAGACATTTTTTGAGATCTACGGAAAACCCCTCAACTCAAAACCACAAGTAGGATGTTCCTAATGTGTCTCGAAAAACTAATCAAGCTTGACCATTTAATTTAGCATGTTAAATACCCCAATAATTACCTTTCAACAAGATTGCTACTATCTGAATCAATGTCAGAGCTTGCTTAATTGCTCTATTAGTGTCTACACGTGTGTAAAATTCGAGTCAGTCCAGTCCAGTCCAATCTATCAGTCCAGTTCAGTACCTGTGGTCAGGCAATCTGTCAGAATTGCATCATTTAGTGCCAAGGATATCCGCATTTCATCCCGTTACTGGTTTATAATTAGGTAGTCGACAAACTAGTTAGGGATTGGTGTTTTTATTTGTTTTGCCTTATTTTCTAGATTTATTTTGCTAATTTAGAAGCGTCTTACTTGACAGACTGCTTAAAATACGTAGGAATCATTGATACATTTCACGTTAACTAAGCCGTTTTAATAAGCGAGAACGTGGGATTTTGTAAAAAGCAAAGATGATCGTATGGGTTTTCTTACATGAGAATCTCTAATAAAGGACAGGCCTTCTTGTTGAGGAGATTGAATTTTTAAGTATTTTAGCTCAGATAGAAATCTTATCATTAGACCATAGCAGTATCACACAACTGTATAATGAACAACATTATTATTAGGTTCGTATTTGAACCCAAATCTGAGTAAAGGATAAATGGTGTGAGATGAGCTGTAGCTTTGTTAGAAACTAAGATCAGCTCAGGACCATTTCATTTTCATCGGCTAGGATCATTAATTTTAATGGAATTTAAAATGATGTTTAAATTCATACATATTTTCCAGACTCTTTCGAAAGAGCTGGCTCAAGAAGACACCAAGGAACGTACGAAGCGGTCTTACAAGATACACGAGGAGATACCTGACGATGTAGTCACTCCCAGATGGACTCTGAGATCCAATAGGTAAGTTACACGATCTTTTATGGTTGAATCTTTAAGACGTTTCAGTTAACGATGTAGTCACTCCTTGATGGACTCTGAGATCCAACAAGTGAATTACATGATCTTTTATGAACGGGTCTTTGATACGATTCAGTTGAAGATATAGTCACGCTCACACCTAGATGGACACTCACATCAAACATTTCAGTTAACAGAAATCAGGAAAAAGGGTTTTAGTCACCTTTAGTTAACTAACACAATTAGCCTTGCTGTTGCTGTCACTACCAGTACGGAATTTTATTTTACGGCATACATTTCTTACCTTCTTCATTTCCTTTCGTGCTTCATTAGGTACAAAAACATTTATCTTAAAAAGCAAAACAGAAATATTCCTATTATTCTTACAGAAAAGCGTTTTTTAGTTCAAATAAACCCTAACAAAGATGTAGGACTCTCTATGCGCCAGGATGAAATTACCATCTCTAATTCCTACAGTGAATATCATGTTACCAGATTGCCATGAATCCCATTGTCTTCTACCAATCCACCTTGACAGGTCAAAACGTCTGGTTCCTGCTCATCCGATTTATTACCTACTTAAAAAATCGAATGTCCAGCCATAAATTAAAGGACCTCTTATCGTGAATAGCACGCATTAGTTAACGATTCACTTTCATATATGCGAGACCCTGTCGCCGATATACAGGCGGCTGTGGCACTCTACAGTGTTGCCAACCTACATATCCTTACTGACATTAATTCCCTGCCCACTTTTCCCTGTTGCACAAATCGTTAAAAAATTGCTTGTAATGTTATGTAACAATTCTGGATTCTGTTGAACGTTCTTGTTCGGCTAGACAGATTGTCCGCAAAGGTCACCATAATTAGGTGCAGTAATGGTGTGTTTAGGAAAAGCTATGTCATTGTTAGTAGCACTAATGGCGTCTTGTTCAGGCACTTGGAGGTCATAATTTGAGGATATCTGGGTTGGACAGGTCTTGTCAACTTTAATGGATGTTTGGTGTCAATCAATCTGTGAACTTTTCAGAGTTGGTTGTTACTTTACGAAGGGCCAAATAGAAATAGCAATGAAATTTGTAAATCTGTGTTGTAAGTAGATCCTGTGCTCACCCAAGTTTCAGGAAAAATATTGTAATTACGGTAGCGAAGTTTAAAAGTTGAGAGTCAATGTCAATGGGTCTTTTAACGAAAACAGTCTTTACAATCATATAGCATATTCACAAGTAAAAACGTAACTAATCTTTCTTAAAATCTAAACCTCAGGAAGGAACTTTTTTTGACAACACTTTCTTTTCCTGTAATTTGTGACATCATAAAACAAACAATCCTGAACAAAAGAAAATTTGGCGTAACCTTTTACAACCACTATAAATCCACTAAATGTATTTCTTATAATCCATTTAACGATTAAACATAAATGTCCTTATACCACAGAAAGCAGCTAGAGCCTTTTTATGGTCCCTCTTGGCTGGATCGGCAGATCCCGGATCTACCATAATGGCAGCACACCTCCCACTCACCCCCCACTCATAAAAGCAGATCGTCGTCTGCGAATCTTCGTAAATTAATCGTGAAGATCGACCAGGCGACCTTGACTCTGACATAGACCTTTGGGATTCCACAACGATAAAAATGATAATCTGAGCTTCTAGAGATAATGTGTGGGATTACAATATAGATATGTCCAGTTAGTAAAGGAGAATGGCTGCTGGGTTGTGGGAGTGGGAGTACCTGTTCTATCTAGGAGTACTGAGTAGTTATTCTATCTTACTTTGTTGCAGTAAATGTTTTCTATTCAAATACTGACTCTGCGGAAGCTGGATGGTACACGTTATATAAACTTTGCTCAAATTTATAATGAAAGAAATTGTAATTTTGGCTTTTGTCAGGATAATGAGTGGTTAGAGTGCGATATCATATATTTTTATTAAATAAATAAAAGGTTAGAATGGGATTCAACTAAGTTCAAAATGGTTTAAACAAAATATATAATTTTAAGATATTGTGTTATGGGAGAATGAGTACGAATGGTTTAAATTCCATGTTGATGGTCTCTAGATTGCTATGTATGACTAAAGATTATGGTACAATACCTCAAGTAATCCGACAAGTAATCCAAATTTTGATGTCAGGTTAAGAACCTACATATTTCGCCGTAAATACGTCATCGTCAGGGTTACAAAACATAAGATATCGCTGGCACACAATAAATTCACAAACACGAAAATTTAATTGACATTGATAGGCCTATCACACGCACACGACGCTGACGGTCCTGGCAAAGGTAGTAGACATGTGTAAATCATTTTAGAGTAAATCCAATCAGGCAAATAGAAATTCGCTTAGTCTGCAGGTTTGCTGCCATAGGGGTATTTCCACTGACTCTTGTACAGTATTTTTTTAAGATATTTGACTATTCATGTATATTGAGTACAAAATGAATAAAGGATCATTTTATTTTATTTGATAGAAATGTCGTCCAAACTCCCCACGGATTAGAGATAACGTATTAAATGTATGATTTTTAATGCTCAGTTTTTACTCAGACGGTTCCTACTTAATTTTTCTATATTTTATTACAACAAAATCACTAAGCTCCATGTGCTCTTAATTTATTAAAAAATAACCATGCTTTACTTAAAAATAAAAATCTTCAGAAACCATAGAAAACTTTAAAATTTGCTTCATAATTTGTTTTTTTTATTGTTACAGCAGAACGAACAAGAGGAAAACTCGTGATGTAGAAGATAAACCTACATCTACCACAGAAGAGGTAGAAGTGACCACTGACAAAGAGGAAGAGAAAGACGAAGAGAAAGAAGCTGATAAAAAAGAAAATGAAGACACCACCTCACGTCAACCATCGGAACAAGAGATTGAAGAAGAAGAATCTGAAGACAATGGAAAACTAATAATTCTTCATTTGACGTCACAGCCACAGCATCTTGCGAAGAACTTTGATCTTAAGAGACTTTCTAAGTAAGTAAAACTATTTTTTTATGAATTTCTTTCAAATTGTTTTTTAGATGACTTTGTCCTATGTCAGACAGAATCAAAGGATCTTGCACGGTGAAGGCTATTTTATTATCTTGATTTTGAAGCATTTTAGTTGTGCGGAAGAATTTTCTATAGAAACTGAAGCAGAATGTCCTAACTACGATTTCCTGGTATGGGTTGTTCCAGAAAACAAGGAGTTGTTTGACGGAAAAGACACGACTACCTTTTACTCTCAATCCAAAAGATGTATCGATAGAAAGGAATCAATGGTTGATTGTTGCTTGCATTCTATGGTGTATGAATATCTAAAAGGGGTACAGTAAACAATAATTGACAGATGCAGAAGAAATCTCTGTTAGAGAATCCACCTACTTTCACTTTGAATATTGCCGCAGACGAAAACGTTTTGATTGTTCCACTCAGTGTACTTTGTCTGTATGCAGGAATTATGGCAGAAATAGAGGATATTAGAAATTCCTCAGCAAAACTGACATTCTTTAAAGATTGTGATATGTCAAAATATCTGTTTAAATTATTTCACATTTTTAGCTAAACCAGAGTTATATGTCCCCACAACAATAAATGTTAATGAATTTCTTCTATTGTCATTTCCCAACAGAATTTAGAACATGTTTTGTTCACAGATATGTCTCATTCTACACCTTGGCAAGTGACAATTTGACTGACTCTTCTGAGAATGGTCTTGCCTACCACCCCAGCAGATTGATGGGAATTGAGGATATACTGAATGTGGTAATTATTGTTAGATTTTGAAATGGAACAGGCCATGGAACATTCTATTGTTATCTGTTATATCCAAAAATCTAATTTGTTATCCATCTGTGTAGATGTTTGTTCCAAGTAAAGCTATAGAGTCAACTTACTACAATCGGGAAAAAGTACATGGGCACTCGAGTTTGAGTTCGATATCTCTGAGAGATGGATGATTAAATTAAAAACAACCAAGCTTGATTAAATAAATTTTACGTAGTAACAAAAAAAATGTTCCGTTTACCAAAAAGCTTGATGTAAATTAAAACACCCCAAAACGTTAATTTTTTTTAAGAAACTGCGCACTAACACTGAAGTTTAAAATTAATTTCTAAACAAACCACTTAACCAATCTTTCTGAAAAATATGGCTTACTCGTGGGACCTTTTTTACTATTTTTATGTTTTTTTCAAAATTTTATTCACAATTGTTTTTATGCTGCTGTTAATTTTTATAACCTAAGCTAAAATCATTAATAAGACGTTACAAGCTTCAAAATACCATCGCGTTTGTCACGACATGAGAAATAACAACAATATGTCAGGGTTATAATCTGAACAAAAATGTTTTTTAAACAGATTTATATTTGTAAACAATTAAAGTACCGTACACCTATCGGCCTATTTATTTCCTTTAAAATCCCATAGGCATAGGTCCCGTGAATTTCCAGATTTTCAAAGTAAAATTTTTGTAGACCTATTTTTCACTCTTGTTTAGTTGTATGGGTTTTTGAAAAGTATATTTTCACCTTAATTCTCAAAAGACCTAATCAAAATAGACGTGATGTCTTATTAGATTTTGTTTTAGATGTTGTTTTTATATAATTTCTTCTCTGGCCGTTCCAGGACTCTCTGATAGACCTGGTGACTGGTCTAGGAGCTCCTCACGAGAAGTTGGTGTTGACTCTGCCAGCGACCGCCCTCAAGTTCACTCTTCAGGACAAGGAGAAGAACATGGCACAGTCCCCCGTCACAGGACCCCCGACCACGATCTCCAGGGCTGAGGTAGGTCCAAGGAGTTGATGCAAAGAGTTGAAACCATGATCATCCAGAGCCTTTGAAGTTAAGAGTTTTGTTCAGAAGGGTTTTAAATTTCTGCGAAGTCACGTTATTCTTTGGTCAAACAAAGACTATCTAGAAGAAATTTGAGTAAATAATTGATAGAGTACTACTAGGAAGAATCCATGTTATAAGGGTATTGAAAGGTTTTGTATTCTAAAGCAGAAGTGTTTGAGTGTGTATGATGGAAGTTTGTTGTTAAACAACATTTGCTGGCCTACAGAAGGCTTTTACTGGGACGATGGTTTATTTGATAGAGTCGGGTATGATAACAATGCGGAAATGCAATCGTATGCATTTACAAATGTCTCGTTGGGAGAGCCTAAAAGTATTGTTTTGTAGAAAGGTTCCTTCATTGGGATTTCAAGATACTTTTTTAAATTATGTCTCGTATTGAAAATAAATCAGCAACATTTCAAGGCTATCTTACTTTAGATTCTCATTATTATTCATACACCTATTGATTTTTTTTTTATAATGTTGTGTGTTGCAATTTAGTTTCTAATTTCTCAAAACTTTGAAGGTTTAAAATGTAACTAAGGAAGAACAACATGCATTTACCACGCATTTCGATGACTATATTATATAAGATTATATTTTTACTTGCACATTGAACCACGACAGGTGTTCAACCATACGTTGTTTTCAGCTCTGCAAGTTAATGTCTGAAGGCGAATGGACGGTAGAGCGAGATGAAGACTTGACCGCGCCTTACGCCTTCCACGACAACACCTGGCTAGCTTTCGATGATCCGACCAGCGTCTCCATCAAGGTGAGGAGCACGACGATGCTTTAGCAGAGGGTATAGTGAATACCTTCAAATACCTAGCCTAGTGCTATCTGAATATTATAAGAAAAATTTAAAAGCACCTGCAAATATATAAAGGCAATATCAATACAGCACCTATATTGCGTGCTGGTGTTTTGAAGTCACTGATTTAAGATATGTGAAAAACATTCATTAAAACTATATATTAATTGTTTTAAATTTTTTTATCCTTATTTTTAAATATTTCAGTTAAAATCTGATGGTTTTAATTTTTGGGTTTAAAACTGAAGCCTTTAGGCTACTTGTTTCACATAGAATGTATTATCATAGACTAAACATACTCCCGTATTATCTTCAAATCTGTTTATTTTTTCTTCCACTTAAAAAGTCTGTATTGTTTTTAAATAGTTAATATGAACTTCATAACTCACCATCTTAATAGGCCTATTTAATCGAAATTTTATAAAAACTTATTTATTAATTAGAAGGTTAGTTAAATTTAAATGCCTTTAAAATTAAGTAAATTGACCAAAATGTTAGTATTTAATTCTGGCTCCTCCTTTATTCTTCTCACCCTTAACATTAATTACTTAGGAAAAGCTTAGAATTTTAAAAGGCTTTTCTTGTGTATTCCAAGCGGCAAATACCCTAACCGTAGTCGTTATAGTAGATGTTAGATTAGATAGAATATTCATAGATTCTGAACTGTCTCCATGTTCATAACTGATAATGTTATAATGGGTTACCTTTGTTGTGTTCTTATTTACTGTCTCAAACCATTCTCTCCCTCTTCAGCCTTATTCTCTCTGGCCCTTCAATGAATACATAAACATAACACTTGCATTCCTTAGAAGGATAAATTTTATCCATTTTTAATTTCTCTCCATGTATTCTTCTAAGAGCCTTATTTTTCGCGGTCACTTGAGTGACCACGCATAGTAAGGCTCTGACTACACATTTACTCCTTTTATCTTCTGTCACCTCTACCCAGATTAGGTACGTGATCCTAAAGAACCTAATCCCGTTCTCTGATCAGGATGAAAACATTATCCCGATAGACCTCAGAACTTGGTTAACACTCCCTATATCTTCCTTTCTCAACCCTATTCTCTGTTTAGGGAAATACAGACCTCGGCGTTTTTCCACTTCCTGTATTCCTCTTTCTTCGCCCTTCATCCACTTCCTCTTCTTCTTTCAACCTGTTCTCTGTCCAGGGTAAATACGTAATCCTGAGGGACCTGGGTGGAGCCGCTGTCTCAGCAGCTGATCAGGAAGATTGGAGCAGAAAATGCAACACCTCAGTACGCGCGTCAGTGCTGACAACATTACACGACACATTTACCCACATTGCCCGCAAGTCTCGTGCCGCTCAATTGGTAGACCTGCAAGAACAACTGCACAGCGCTGGACAGTTTTCTTACTCCGGTAAAAATGGATTGTGTATTTTTTATGAAATCTCTACTTAAACTTTGTTTTTTGACTTGGATAGCTGATAGTGAACTTTTACGAGTAGATGAAGACAGTCATTATTTTTTTTTTTTTACTCGAGTTATGGAATACTAGCTGTTGTACCCGTGCTTTGCTACGGGAAGAACAGGACATGAAATAGAAACATTTTGATCTTTACATCTGATAAATATTTACACATAGGTACGCCAAGACTTTTAGAAACAAAATTTAACCTTTATGACCTTTATAGGACACTTAAGGCGTTTTGATCTGGTAAGTAGTGGATACTCACAGACGATACTATTTCCATAAAAATTGGTACGTGTTATCCACTACCGGTACTTATTCAATGTGTTTGTTGCAATTGGTTACTCAGTTGCGCAGTAATTTTCCTATTGTGATGAACTGTGCAAACAGGGTAGTGATGTCTTTGGTTCGTGTCTTGGAGTTACAGTTACTTTAAGAATCTGTACAGTTTATTCTTGTACTTTACCGGGTGTTCTCTTGCTTTATCCTTAGTGAGCTCCTCGCACAGGCCTTTGAAGCCCATCTGAATGGAGCAATACCAATAGAAGACCAAACCACTGACCTTTAAAAATGATAAATGTAATTTAAAAATCTACAGCCCTCAACTATATACTAATACAATATGAATCTTATCTAGCACTGAATGAACAAGAAGTATCCTTCTTGCTTTTAAATCTCTTGTAACAATCGAACCACCATAAGTCAATCAAACATTTCTTCCTATTAAGCACGCTGCTATGCCTCTTAGATATGTCATACATTTGCTCCATTTACAGTTATTGTTTTGATTTTCATCACTATGTTTATTAACACTAAACGTTTCCAGAACTGCAGTGGACCGACAGTTTATAACATGTTTATGTAAGACTTAACCACTTATCCTTTTTCAGGCGACATCCATCTTAGTCCCTACCGTATCGTGCGAGTGGTGGACAGAGCCGGTGCCATCCATGTTGTAAGGAAAGAAGCCAAGACTGAGTTTGAATGTTCCAGACAAGGTTACTTCAGACACCCTAGTGGATGTAACAGGTATGACTTAAGAAAACTAGTTTTTGTTTAAATTGCTGCAGTTTGTGAAAATACTCAAGATGAATTATTTCTTAAGCAACTCTTGTTCGTGTACTTGTGGCATAGAATTATTTGTGCATTTAAGTTTAAACAGTTTATAAATGTATGAAATTTTCTTTTTCATAAATATATATAAAGCATTCTATACAAAAAATGTGAAACGTTCTACCATTGACTATACAAGTTTTTTTGAAAGTCTGGAGACAGAGGACTCATTTTTTGTCTACTCCTTATGTTGTACTCGTATGTTACAGTTTTTACATTTACAAGACATACATTACACCATTTTCACTTGGTTGGTTTCAAGCTCTTGATTTATTACTTAACCTCAACCTTAACTTTTGGATGCCAAATCTACACTCTACACTTTTGATCTCCTATACAATGAATTGAACCATTAAGAAAAATCACCAACTTATCCTAGAAACTTACAATATTATGTTCAAATACTTAAAATCCTGAGCAACAATGTTTTTAATTAACATTACCGTTAACATTGCACGATGTTTTAGATTCTACCGTTGTGTCAAGTTCAACCAGTACAGCCCGGACTTCACAGTGTTTGAGTACGATTGTCCAGCTGGTCTGGCGTTTGACGAGACAGTGGAGGTTTGCGTGTGGCCAGGGTCTTTGGCTGACGGAGGCGCTTGTCAAGGTAAAGTGATCTGGAGGCGGATAAATAGTACTCTTAATAGCAAAATGTAATAAGAGGTCAGAAAATATTGTTGGGTTCAGTTTTCCGAGGATATGAGAAGCTTTACAAGTAAATTAGGAATCATAAATGCAGGAATTCATTCAATATGCATCACACTGTATATTATCTAAAAATACAACTCAATCTATATGTTGATCATCACACACACTCTCCTTTGTTTGCCTTATACCTACGTTTCCTCTGATTGTCATGTTACCTCCTCTGAACGTCCTTCACGCTCCACCATATCTATACGTTTTTCTGACCACTTTTCCTTTATAATATTGCTTGATAAACCATGTCTGTATTATTCTTAGAGAATTTTCCACCTACTCTTCACGTCCCTACCTCCTGTCAACTATTCACGTACATCCATCCCTCCTCTTTACTCGTATCTTTGCGTGCTTCCATCTTATATACTCTCCTCTGACCCTCTCAATGCTAAGAGTCTATCCCTCTTCTCTATTCTTTACTTCCACCCTACTCTATATTCTCCATGTTTATCTCCCTATCCCTAATCCCTAATCTCTTGTCTTCATATGACAGCATCTTATCTTTTCTTATCTGACCACACTCTACTCCACTCTAATCTTTTTCCATGCCACAGGTTCCAGTGAGATTGCCCCAGTGCCACGTCAGAGGTACGTCTGCCCCACGACCCCCGGCTACTACGCCGACCCTGAGAACTGCAGATGGTTCTTCGCCTGTCTCGACCATCACGGCGACGGGTCTCCCCTCACCGCCTACGAGTTCCGTTGTCCCTTCGGCCTTGTGTTTGACGAACAGTCCCTTGTGTGTAATTGGCCCTGGCTGGTCCCTGGATGTGGAGGCTCTGGAGTTTACAGTGCTAGGTGAGAATGGAATGTTATGCTTAAGGTTATTTCAACAGTACAGTAGTTGAATGTTATTGTATGATTTGTCTCTTCCACATTACTTCAGGCTAGAAATAGGGGTCACGGCATTATCACTTAGATAAAATCCATTGGTGATTTGGCGGGATTTGAACCCAGGACCCTAGGAACCGGAGTCCCACGCTCTAACCACTGCTAACCAGGGTTGCAGCTCGTTAAGTAACTAGTTTTTTTGGCATTTGCATTCTTGAGATGCAGGTCCCAATTAATCAGCAATTATTGCCTTTAGCTATAAGTTATGATGATTTGACCTGGCGATTTGAATCCGTTTTAATCAGTGGGTTTTACTATATAGAAAACGGTAGAGGATATGTTTCACAGATTAACACTTTCCATGTATGAGAGAGATAACTCCCCCAAATAAAACCAATCTAGTAGTTAATTTAAGCTGTCATTTGTTTCGACATCTACAGCCAAGCTTCATGTTTAAACGCTGGGCTTCAGGCAGTTTTAAAATTTTAGCAATATCATATTGCTATGCTAGAGCAAAAACTCACTTACCTCCTATCAAAACTAAGATGAACTATAAGGTAACGTAGCCGAATATGCTATAATACTGAAATCATAAAAAACAAAGAAAACTAAGAACAAATCTGAACATTTAATGTTTCTTTTAATTAAAAAGTTACAAAAATACCAGCATTTATATGCTTGTTGAAGTTATAACGTGAATTAGAGCCACTCTAGCAACAGGTAAGGACTTAGATCAAATTAAAATAAGACAATTTACATAATTAAACAATCCGCTTCACACATGGGGTATGGAAGGCAAAGTACTATTGTATTGATTAAATAGTAAAATACCCGATGTTTTCGGTACAAATACTTAGATATGCAGAACTGTTTTCCTGTATCATTCTTCATAATTATTAACATTGGTATATGAACTAGTGTATAGCTGAACTATGTTTACAGATTCACTGTTGGAGATTTCTTTGAGGGCAGACATCGTCCCAGCTACGCGTCCGTTTCTGACTACCACGTTTCTGGAGGCAGGATAGAAAACGTAGCTGGAGGAGTGGTCCTGGGTAAATATGCATCCAGTCTGTGTTTCAAGAAAATAATTAATAACGAGAACCATAAAATAATTTTTGTAAACAACTGTTAATTAACACGAGGAATAACCTATAGCATGCACTGTTGAATCTTATACATCTAGAAAATAAATCAGTTCAAGGAGTTTTTTCTGGTTTGCAATCATATTTCTTTTTACAGGTTCGGCTCTCACTGGAATCGGCTCTGGAGCGTATCTGGCGTCTGGAAGCAACGTTCTAGGGGCAGGAAGTGCAGGAGCCTACGATGGTACCAGTGGAGCAGAAGGTCTGGGTTTGGGAGTGTACAGTGGTGCCACCGCGGGTAGTCTCGCCAGTGGATCTTACCAGAGCAACTCTGTCAGCGGAGCAGGAAAGACAGGATACTCCGGATCAGGCTACTTGGCCAATGGAGCTGGCTCAGCATATTCTGGAGGAGCAGGATACGCCGGGGCTGGAGCTGCTGGTGGATTTGGGTCAAGCAGTGGATACTCTTCGGGTGGAAGTAGCTATAGTGAGAGTGGAGTTGATTCTGGAGCCTATGTTGCTCAGGTTGGCTCTGGCAATGGAAATGCTGGAGGTTATTCAGCTGGCTCTGCATATAAAGGAAGTGGGAAATACTCTGCGAGCTATTCTGGTGCCACCGGTGGTATTGGAAATGCTAACTCTATAGGAGCAGGTACTTATTCTGCAGGTGCAGGAGCCTATTCTGCAGGAGAAGGAGCTTATTCCGCAGGAGCAGGAGCTTATTCCGCAGGAGCAGGAGCTTATTCCGCAGGAGCAGGAGCTTATTCCGCAGGAGCAGGAGCTTATTCTGGAGGAACTGGTTCTTCCTCGACAAGATATGGAGCAAGTGCTTACGGAGGAGTTTATGGAGGTGGGTCGTACTATGACCAGTCTGGAGCTTACGTTGAAGACAATTCTGGATCCTACATTCATGACAACTCTGGAGACTACATCCACGACGGAGCTGGTGACAACGGAGGGCTCTATGCAGGAAAGGAGTCCTATGGAGGACAATACAGTGGAGGATATGTGGCCGGAGGAGCTTACGTTCCAGGAGTCTATGACAACGGAGCTTACAAAGGATCCTACTCCTCAGGAGGCCAGTACAAGGGAAGCTACGTCGGTGGTGGAGAGTATTCAGGGTCTTATGACACAGGAGCGTACAAACACGAGGGTTCTAGTGGAGGCAAGTACAAGGGAGAGTATGACAGTGGATCATACTCTGGGAAATATGACACTAGTGGATACTCTGGTAAGTACGATGCAGGTTCATATTCCGGAAAATATGACGGTGGAGCATACTCTGGAAAGTATGACACGAGTGGATACTCTGGAAAGTATGACACGAGTGGATACTCTGGAAAGTACGATGCTGGTTCATACTCTGGAAAGTATGATGGTGGAGACTACGCTGGTAAATATGACTCTGGAAAATATGACGGTGGAGCCGACTCTGGAAAGTATGAAGGAGGTGCCTACTCTGGAAAGTATGATGGTGGTGCCTACTCTGGAAAATACGATGGAGGATCTTACAAAGGAAGTTCGGACTCTCAGGACTATTCTGGAGGATTCTACAACTCTGGTGGCTCTACTTCTTATCAAGGAGGGTATAAGGTCCATTCCACGCCTGGTGTAGTAGTAACGGGAGGAGAAGGTCATGAGTACAACAGTCTAAACATCGCTGAGCACAAGCCTGCTGCTGGATTGGTCGGACTAGATGCTGTCAAGGTAACGGGAGGAGATATCCACTCTGGTGGATACATCAGTAGCTATGTCACTCCAGCGCCTGTCCCTGCTGTATCAGTGACTCCAATCTCTCCTGTCGTGTCTTCTTACTCGACAGTCACCCCAGCGCCCATATCGGTTTCTACCTACAAGTTTTCAACAGTTCAGCCTACAACACCTCGACCAGTCACATACTACCCTGTCCCGTCAAGCCCTGTTACTCCAGTCCCTACAAAGACATTGTTGTCTTACTCTACAGTGAAGCCTCCAGCGTATGTATCAAGTTATGAACAACCTTCATATGTAAAGACAGTTACACCTGCTCCTGCAGTTGTATCTTACCCTGCCCCAACAATCGGAGTAGCGAAAGCACCACTTGTTCCTTTGAACCCAGTTTCGTACACCTACAAACAGCCAGTTGTGAAGAGTGAGTACGTGTCTACAGGGTTCCAGTACAAGGCTCCAGCAGTCGGTGTCTCATACGAACAACCCTCTTACATCAAACCTGTTACGCCAGTACCTTATTACCAACAGGAATTCGTTGACTACGGCTACAAGAAACCTATTCCACCTGCCTACTTGCCACCTCTTCCTTCTTACAGTTACGAGTACAAACCCCCAACATCGTATGTAAAACCTGTAGAAGTGAAGTACTCGTATCCCAAACCTGCAGTTTTGAAGACTCCAATCGTTCCTTTGAACCCTATCCAATACTCTACTCCTTCGCCTATTGGCTACTCGGTTGCCCCTCTTAAACCCATTTCTTACGCTAGTCCTGCCCCCGTCGCTTACCCAAGTTACCCTACCCCAGCTCCTGTTTCCTACACTGGTCCTAAATACTTGCCTCCTGTTCCTGTTGAACCAGTCAAACCTATCACTTACACAACTCCAGCTCCTGCTGTATCCTTTGGATACTCTGCTCCTGCTGTCAAATATACACCTACTGTTCTAAAAACCCCAGTAGTCCCTCTTAACCCTGTTCAGTATTCAACCCCCGCTCCTGTTCATTTTGAATACTCTACCCCAGCTCCAGTCAAAACCTACTCCTACTCAACTCCTTCTACTCCAGTAAGCAATACACCTGCTCCAGTGAAACCCCTAAAGCCAATTACCTATACCACACCAGCGCCACCAGTTAGCTATGAATATTCCACACCAAGACCTCAACCTGTTAGACCTTTGAAGCCTATTACCTATGCTTCTCCAGCACCTTTTGTGGAGTACAATGTTCCTACAGTGCTCAAAACACCCGTTGTTCCTTTGAACCCCGTCCAGTACACAACGCCGGCCCCTGTTCACTTCGAGTATTCCACCCCAGCGCCTAAACCAGTAACGTATGTGAGACCGGCTACGTACAGCACTCCTGCTCCTGCAGTAAGCTATGGGTATTCAACTCCAGCACCCATCCAGCCAGTCAGGCCTGTCGTGTATTCCACACCAGCACCTGCTGTAAGCTATGAGTACTCAGCTCCTGTTGTAAAGCCTGTCGTGCCCTATGTTGCTAAAACACCAGCAGTCCCTCTTAACCCAATTCAATACACAACACCAGCACCTCAATACGAGTTCAAATACTCAACTCCAGCACCAATTGAGCCCGTCAGCTACGTGAAGCCTTTGAAACCAGTAGCACCAGCTATTTCATACTATTCTACACCAGCTCCTCCACCAGTGAAGCCTGATGTAACTTACTACTCGGCGCCTTCACCACCCCCTGTCAAACCTGTGAGCTACGGCTACTCTGCAATTCCAGTTCAACCTGCAATCTACGCAAAGCCATTGAAACCAGTTACATACTCAACACCAGCTCCGGCTGTCAACTATGAATATTCACGACCAACTGTAACTCCAACAGTGTTTAAAACACCAGTGGTCCCGTTGAACCCTATTCAATATACGACACCAGCTCCCATCCACTTCCAGTACTCCACTCCAGCGCCAGTACCAGTAAAGCCTGTTACTTACACAGTCCCTCAAGTAAATTACCAATACGTTCCACAAGCTCCAGTGCAGCCATTGAAACCAATCTACTCTCCGCCTAAATATCTGCCTCCAGCGCCCATTGAACCATTGAAACCTCTGAAGCCAATAACATACACAACACCCGCCCCGGCTGTCTCCTATGAGTACTCGTACCCAGCTGTGAAGCCTGTAGTGCCAACAGTTCTCAAAACACCTGTTGTACCGCTTAACCCAGTCCAGTATACGACTCCTGCTCCTGTATACTTTGAACATTCTACTCCCGCTCCTCTGAAGCCTATCGTTTATTCAACACCAGCTCCTGCAGTGAGCTATGAATATGTACCTCCCGCTCCGGTAAAACCATTGAGGCCTATCGTATATTCTACTCCTGCACCACCGGTAAGCTATGAGTATTTGCCCCCTGCACCTGTGCAGCCAGTTAAACCGATCACTTTGTCATCCCCAGCTCCTTTCTCTTACAACTACAAGTATCAGCCAGTTAAGCAGGTTCCAGCCGTGCTTAAGACACCGGTGGTACCTTTGAACCCCATTCAGTACACTACCCCTGCACCTGCAATTGTTCAGTACTCAACTCCTGCACCAACAGTTAGCTACGTCAAACCATTGAAGCCCATTGTTTACTCGACTCCTGCTCCTCCGACAGTGAGCTACGAGTATTCAACTCCTGCTTCACCAGCAGTTTCCTACGGTTACAAATCAACTGCATACGTCAAACAGGTCCCCACAGTCTTGAAGACTCCAGTTGTACCTTTGAACCCTGTTCAATATAGTACACCTGCACCGGGTGTGAACCAGTACCGATTTGGTGTTGCTTATGAGACTCCAGAAATTCAATATCAGCCTGAAGTTGCTTATAAGCAAGAATACGTGAAAACTAAGGTTGTAAAGGAAGGATATGACTACCCTAAACCATCAGTAAGGTTTGAGGAGGCACCTAAGTTTGTCAGCACTACTCCTGCCCCAACTGTCTCGTATGAAACTCCAGAGACAACTCCTGTCTACAAGCAGATTTACAATTATGTGAAAACTCCTGTAGTCAATGCGTACGATAAAGTTTTGAGCGCCATCAGCTACAGTACCACACCCGCTCCACTGCCTGTTCAACCCGTCACACAGTCCCCGGTCTCCTACGCGCCTGTAAATGTAGGTCCGTCTTACAGTCGACCTGCTCTAGTCAAAACTCCGTCAATCCCCGTGACTCCAGTAACCGTTGTTCCTGAATATCAGAAAGTCCTGAATGTTGTTAAAGCCTCCACGACACCATCCCCACTTTATGTTAACCACTACGCGAGCACATACGAACCCGAAATCATACCTGTGACCACACCGAAACCGGTGGTATACAAGAAAAAACCAGTTGTTGTTCAGAATACATACGTTAAAGATTACTCATATGAAGAGAATATCGAAGACATATATGACGCAGTGAGGAGTGACTTTGGAACTAAACTAGCCGGTGGCTACGAACAAGGGTATGTCTATAACCAACAAAAGGTGGAGGTCCCTGAAATTAAAGTATATACATCAACAACTCCAGCTGCTGTTCCTGTGATAAAAGAAACTTACAGAGTGAGAAAACCTGTCAAGACTGTCGTTAAGACTTACGAACAGCCTGCTGTAGCAGTGGGATATGAAAGTGGCAGTTATGAAGGAGGTTCCTCATACTCCACCACTGGAGCGCCAGTCGTGGTCAGCTCTTCTGAAGCCGTATTCGGAGAGCAATACCACAAAGAAACGTCATTCTCCGGATACACAGGAGTCGAGGGAGATTCAATTAAGTACGAAGAGCTTGACCAAGCCATCCCAGCTGTACCTGTTTACACGTCCACAGTCAAACCTGTCACTAGAGTCACTGTTCCAGCAGTCACCGTAACACGACCTGAAGGAGGATACTACGTAAGGAAACAGAAGGTCCGCGTCAGGCCTGTAGTCAGAACTGAGAACTACCCTGAGGTATACTCCTCTACATACACTCCATCAACGGTGTCCACGACTACCTTCGCCCCTACCTACTCATACTCCACAACACCTGCAACTGTTGTCAAATCATCAACCACTGTCCATCCTGATGACGTGGTTGACGTGGACGGAGAAGAAGAAGAGGTAAAGATCTTGGAAGGATTTGACGGACAGTACGGTGGAGTTGTCAAGACAGGATACGTGTCAAGCACAGTAGCCAGCATCGAAGACGGTGAAGCTGTCGTGGGCATTTTGAAGAAGGGTAAGATCACATACGACGGAAGAAGAACAAAAACTAAGGTTGTCGTTGTTTCAAAACTCAGTGACTTCAACCCTCTCCTGGTTGGAAAGCTGGGCGCTGAATGTAGCTGTGATGGAAGATCTAACACAGTGACTGTAAGAAGACACAAACAAAGAGGATCAAACAAACTCTTCACTCCTTCAAAGGATTCCACAATCCCTGACCAGCAGTACTTGGATAGCTACCAAACTAGTACAACTACAGCAGCTCCAGTCGTCGTCAAATCTGATGAATCTTACAAATCTTATGAGTCGTCCTCATACAACTCACCAGTTGTTGAGATCAAACCAATCAGGAAGAAGACTAGAGTTTACTCTACCACCACATTGGCTCCTGAATACTCGGAAGACGTTTCAGAAGTCAACTACGTCGCTGAAGCTGGAACTGAAAGAGTCAAGGACAGAATCGAATGTAAGAGAGCTGGACTTTTCCGACACCCGAAGAAATGCAACAAGTTCTACTCTTGTGATTGGGATCAGTGGAAGAAGAAGTTTACGGTCAACGAATTCAAATGTCCCATTCATCTTGCTTACGATGCTAACCTGGGAGCTTGCAACTGGCCATCAAAGGGACCTGCTTGTGCCGAAGACAACCTTCTAGTATAGGCTGTTGAAGTGGACTAACAAAATCTACTGCCATATTCATCATTTATCAAACTAAACAAGCCATAATAATTTAAATCAAATTGTATTCTACATGTGAAAAGATACACCCAAATGATCAAAGTAGTATAGGTTATAAGGAGAAATACGGTTAAGTCTACTGTTAGTAGTCATTATATGACAAGTAAATTTACTTTTTCTGAGCTCTCTCTATCTTTTTGTGATCAAAATGCAATGGTTACCATTAGACTTCCTTATTTCGAAGTGCCATTTAATAAGTAGACAAACACTGTACCTGTAAAATTTCGATTTGGAAACATTCTTTGAGAAAAGTCTAATAGGTTCTCTCTTTTCATTGTTTGAAGTGGTGTATATTTAACTACTCTTTGATATACTGCCATTGCGTTGCCATTTATTATATGTTTGTATATATTTATTGATTTCCCTTTATAGTCTCACCTGTTCTCTAAGCTACAATTTTAATGAAACCGGTTTTATATTTTTTGTATTATATTAATTTTAAGAGTGTGTGTGTTTTAGTATATTATTTTAGAGAATAAATGTTTATTGTGATTCAATCTGTTGTTATTTGAACCTTGTTGCTACTGATATGACTTTTATCCCGGATCTTTCACATACATAATATCTATTGACTAAAGGTACAGAACCATGGAGAAAATCATTACATTTCCATGTCTTACTCCCAAAGGACTTCGTTCAATTTAGCCACCTATCACCGACAGATTGTGCAGCTGTCAAATAATGTTTTTCTAGAAATACATGTTTTTTTTATTCGTGAACTGTAACAACTGTCCCATCGTTTCAGAATATCCCAGCATGATTAAAAAGAAAAGATTAAAGAGAAGATAGAAATCCAATAACAAACTCAAAGAGTAGCTTATTCATCTATGTTCAAAAACTGGCATCAGCAAATCCATATATATAGGATGTCTATTCGAACGAGTTCGGGAACCAGTATGGAGTTTTATGGGTTGAAAATCGGGTTTCCACACTTTTTACTCCCAAACCGTGACATTTTGCTATTTCTTTAAAACCGTTTTGTAGAGCTTGGAAATTATATTGATGCCAAATGGTTACGGAGAAAATTGCAAAAAACCGTGTGTTTTACGTTATTCTTATGGAGAATAAATAAACTGTTGTAGTTTTTTTGTTCATTGATATGTTTTAATGAAATTTAGCAAATTGTTTAATACACTATCTTGCAACCTCATCTTACGTACTCATTAAACTGAATGTTATTAATAGGAAATAAATCTGACAATTTTAACGGAATACTTTAATAAAAATTTAACCAGGCAAATGAAAGTTCACTTAGTCTGCAGATTTGCTGCGGTGGGGTATTTCTTCGGTGTTTTCTCTCTAATGCGAATCACAAGTAAAGCTATATGTCTACTAGTATTTAATGATATTCAAATATTTATTGAGCAACAGAATACATGTACATAATAAACTAAACAATCGTGATATTCCTGTAAATGTAGATAGTACTACACGCGCCTTCAGAAAAATACACCTGAACTCTACACTTGCTTGTACCTATCGCTGCGGATTTGTAACTGCAGCTTCATTGATGTCTCGAGAAAAATTAGATAATTATTTGAAATCTAAACACAAAACCCGTCTTTTCTCCGAGATGTGACCCTGGCTAGCTTCTTACCTATTAAAATGTAACACTGAAGTAATCTCACAATTTGATTCTTACACTATGATTATAAAAAGACACGACGTTTCCATGTAGAGTTTAACAAGTTTTAAATGAAAATTGACGTAATTGAACTCAGCCACCATTAAAATGCACTGATTTTCTTTTACTGGTTACTAATTTCTGTGAAATACGCTAACCGAGCAAACATGAAAGATTAATTAATTGTAAGCTATAACATATATTATATCACATACATTTTAGACCCTAGCACAACTCTGTGGGTGTAGGGCTACCAGTCCAGCAAACATAAATCATCCGTTTCTCCAGTGAGGACAACTGTCTATGTACAGGAGAACAGCCTTCCCTAAAAAAACTAAACGATATTGATATTTAATAAACGATTAAACATTATCAGCAAACTAACACAATACTTCCACTCGTAACCTTGCCAACAACCTTTATAGTGGGTGCAGTGGGAGGAACCATGATATTTTATGGGTTATATAAAAAAAAGGAATTATCTTTCAAGCCACAACTTTTACAACATTTGGGGCTTAACCATTTTGAACGAGTTTATTGGACCATAACATTATAAAAGTTATTTAAAATTGTTCAGGTATTTTTTGTGAATTTTAATTTTCCATTATTTTATGAGATTTGTTGTCAAATCACCATTAAATATAAAAGAAATTGTAAAATGAAAACTACTTTTTGGGCTCAGTGGGACCCAAACCAGGCACTTCCACCGGAAACTCAAACCCGATAATTTTGACAAAAACTACAATTTCTGCATTAAAATTGTATAGGAGAAGAAAGTAAAAGGAACAAACGACCGTTTAGCTTATCATGCAAATCTTATCCGTTTTAAAGCTGTCACTAAACTAAGCCTGAACCAAGAATGTATGCAAATACAGTGTAATTTGCGTGGCTCTATGTACAACATGACAAAGGTTTGGAGGGAATATTTGTTAACCAAACTATGCAATCTCGGGTTGAACACTGTAAAACACAATGGGCTACAAATTGAATTACTAAAGAAGTGAAACGTATAATGTGTTGGTTTTCCTTCAATTATCTTAAACGGTGAATTCCCATAGAATTTGCCCTAAGTGTCTGAGCGATCGTCATTGAAAGGCGTTGTCGACACTTTTAGCGAATTTCCCTATAGGGAAGTAGCTATTACCGTAGGTCTCATGGTAAGACCTAGGCCCGGGACCGATTTACTTTATCATTTTGATGTCCCCAGAGGCCAAAAACACCATTCGTTCAAATTTTTATATATGTATATATATATATATATAGGTATATATATATATATAGATTTATATATATATATATGTGTCCGTGAACACGATAACTTGAGTAATTTTTATCCGTTTTTGATGAAATTTGGTTTGTAGGTGTAAGGCGGGATAAACTTGAATGAGTTCGCGATCCAGCATGATCGGACCATGGGAACAGGGTTTTATGGGGGGTTTTATGGGGTAAAAATTGGTTTTTCTCACTTCTTACCCTCAAAACACAAAATTTCCCAATTTTTCTCCAAACCTTCTTAAAGAGCTTAAAAAAACAAACAATTCAGTATATCAAAGTGTTTTTGTACGATTATTGGTTACGGAGAAAACTAAAAAAATGGTAAATTTAAAATTCCCATGTTATTCTTATGGAGAATATTGTAAAATGTTGTAGTTTGCTTGTTTATGGATATATTTTGATCAAACTTGGCAAATTTATTTATTTTATAGTAAGCTATCAATATTTTACTAAAAACACACTACTTTATTAGTTTCCTTGTAGCAGCAAACCTAGGTACTCGTTAAACCTAATGTTATTTAAATAGATCAATTGAAAATCAATTCGGCCAAATGGAAATTCGCTTAGACGGCAGGTTTGCTGCGGCGGGGGTATTTTATTATCTCCCCCAATACATAGTATATGGAGAAAATATTTTTGTGGTCAAATTTTTAGTTTAGGTTTTCGGTATAAATATCCGTTTTTAAGTCCATCTGAACTAAAAAAAGTTTATTTTAAGTGGTGTGTGTGTGTATATGCGATTTTAATTTAATTTTTTTATTGGCCAATTTTGGAGCCTACCAGTAGACCGACAAGATACTTGGTCGTTTGGCCACTAGACCGTCTTTTTAAATTAAATAGATAAATACTGAAAACCAGTACGTCGACAAGTTATTTCATCGTCATTCCAGTTGACCGGCCTGTAAAACTAAATTATTATATACGAGAAACCAACTTGTCGTCAATCGACCCGGCCGACTTACCACTTGCTCGTCTTTTAGGTGGGGATAGGGGGCAGAGTGGGAGGAGCTAACCGGGGATTACCCAGGAGTTTGAGGCGCTTCTCATGGTTGAACCACCTCGCTCGAGGCTAGAAGCCAGTATTGCCAACTGAAAGTACTATAGCTCCGTCGAAGGGACCGCGTCTCGTTGTCCCTCCGTCTCGTTGTCCCTCCGTCTACTTGTACCTCGAGGCCTAGGGACAACTAGTCGTAGGTACAACTAGACGTAGGTACAAGTAGACGGTGGCTCACCCGACTAGTTGTACCTGCAGATTTTTAGGAGGTACAACTAGACGTAGGTACAAGTAGACGTAGGTACAACTAGACGTGTATCCCACCGGCAAGTAGTATCACCTAGCTTGTACGGATGCGACCAGTTGTCCCTACGACTAGTAGTCCCTACGACTAGTAGTCTCTACGACTAGTGGTCCCTCCGTCTAGTAGTCCCTACGTCTAGTTGTACCTACGCGTATTTTGCGTCCTTATAGTCTAGTTGTATCTATCCTTCAATTCGTTACCCTGTTTAATTGATTACTGCACGAGTACTTTTTAATAATACCCTTAATTAAATCAGGAACTGCAGTGTTCCGAGTCGATTGAGTATGATTGGCAAATATTTTTCACCGCAATACGATGTTTTAGTAGTTTTACAGACGTTAATTGGAGGCTGAAAGCTACGCATTGCTGTCCAGGGTCGAAATGGCAGCTATAGTTGTGATTAAAATTTTCCAGCCCTAGTACCGAAAATCGCTTATTTAATTAAAACATTTATATATATCATTAAATATACAATCAGTATATCCCTAATGAATTGCAATAGACCGCTGCCCAGCAATTATGTATTACTATTTTTGCTGATTCCTTTAAATATTTTTTCACATAACCTTAAAGTATTTGCATTGATTAGTGTGCATATCCTATAGTTTACAATGGATTTCCCAGTGATCAATGAACAATGAAGTGTACAATGAAGTTGAGGTCCAGTGGTTGAAAACTCGACAAAAACTATGCAATGTACTACACATACTTCTCCATTTAACATACACTGTAAATAATAAATGTGATGGGAATATGTTCCATTTGTTTTGATTTTATTTTCATAATTAGTTGTTATTTCGTCACCAGCATAGCAACCCGTTAAACCCATGTTAGTTTTAAACATTTGTAATTCTTTTTTTATGTCTTTTTAGCCTATTTTAATTTATAAAGGCATTCTGTAGATCGACAGGAAAATACATTTCCACCGATATGCGGATATTTTCTCTGTGATGTTCACGAGCTGATAAAAAGGTTGTAAAGAAACATGCTTGCCTACATTATTGATATATTTTCTCAGTTTTGTATAGTTTGGTGAAAAACAGCAATCGTGCCACGGACCGATTTCATCTTCGTCTCGAACTTAAAAATGATCCCGAGCTGAAAAAAAGTCATTTTCGGCCCTAGGTACGAAATATACTCTTAAACTATCGCAGGATCGGTGAATACTAAACTCTATCTTGGAATTGCATACACTCGCTCCTGTCTTTAAGTTTACGTTGTTGCCATACAATAAATGTACAAATAAACACAAAAATTCACAAGTTTTGTTGTAAGTACCTATATCATGTATAAATAAAAA